CCAACACATGGCTAATCTAGTAGTGTGATGTAAGATATGAGAGTACCACACAAGAGACAGCACATAAAACTGTTAGTCACTACCACTAGGATTGAATCAACTCACCAGTGGTAGACAAGGTCAAAGTTAAAACAGCACTACCCTTACAGTGGTGTCGGGTTTATTTTCCAAACCTTACAAAGAACCAAGGCTCCCTCAGTTCTGCTCATGGTCCCCGAGCAAAACAGACACAGATCAATGCACTCAGCAGACAGACATGATCACCCAACTAACATTCGCATGCAAATGATCAAATGTGCAGCTAACAAAAATCCCCCAACTAAAATGTACAAAAACCATGTGAATGTGAACAGAAACATCAAAATGTGAAAGCATGCATCATATCAGCATTTCCAAGGATAAAACTGCTCCACATACGGGTAAAATGCCCTGCACTCAGAAATCAGGTTTCAGAAGGCATCCATGCAGAACTCAATCAGTATTCTATCATCGTTTGTCCACTGGACCATACATGTGAGCTCAATATCAATCCTTTTCTACTTTCCCGTTTCTATTTTCATTATGTAGCAAATCAATGAAAGCAGCCCACCAAATTTGTTGTGGGCCACTAATGTCTAATCTTCCAACAATAAAGCCTCAAATTTTCTCATTTAGAGGCTCTAATGTGGGTGTCGGGGTGCCCTCTGCTGGTTACTCATCTTACCTACATACTGTTTATACTAAGTGATTTTGCATGTGATCTTTTTCTTTTTTCTTTTATCTTTTTTATATATTTAAAAAATTAAATCCTTGTTTTCCAGGTTTGCAAGAAGGTATTTCCTTTATTACACACTTCTTTCCTTTTTAGGAAACAATTCCTTAGATTTTCACTCCCTGGCATTAGATAAAGTGGTAATTTAAAATGACTGTATTGGTGACAGCTGATTAGAGGATCTGCCATCTCATTTTCACTGACTTGAGTATTTTCAAGGGGAAGTTAGATCCAAGAGTATGATTTTACACAAACTGTCTGGTGCTTGTTTCTGGGAGTAGAATTACATGTACTGACTATTTACAGTGAGTACAGATTAGCAAGCAGAACAAAAACTACAAAAACAGAACAAGAACACCAAGGAATAGAGGTGCAAAACTTTAGTGGGAAACTAGTGCAGTTCAGAGAAGTCAAGTTGGTTGTGTATGGAAGAGGAGCTAAAGGAGTTTGGGAAAAGCTAAACAAAATTTTAGGCCACTATGGTCTTCATATAAATATATGATGTGTCACTGACTAAGCAACAAGTGTTGAAAGTTCGACACATTTTCTTTCTCTGAGGTACAGTATGTGAATCCTTAGTGAGATTAGATAAACCTCTGGCTCTGGACAAAGTAGAGCCTTATTGTTTTTAAGGTTGCTGCAGATCTTATTGTTTTTCCTCTCACATATTTTTAATCTTGGTTACAAATTAGATCCATAAGGTGTGGGAATCAGTCTTTAACACCTCTGCTTAATGGCAAAAATGGTTCCAATTTAAATAATAATAGGCCTATTAATACCCATCCATTTTCTAAACCGCATAGTCCCAAACGGGGTCACGGGGGGCTGGAGCCAATCCCAGCCAGCTGCGGGCGAAAGGCGGGGTACACCCTGGACAGGTCGCCAGCCTATTAACTAGTTTAAAAAGTTTACGCACACTATTTTAATGGTATTTCATCTAAGCATCAGTTTGGATTTAGGAAGCAGCACAGTGCTACCACTGCTGCAGTGAAGGTTGTGAATGATTTTGTTTCTCTGGCTCAGAAGCGGCTTTATTTTTTGATTTGTCTAAAGCCTTTGATACTGTGGACCATGTATGTGTAAACGTTAATGTGGTCATTTCAAACTGGCTTACTGTTTATAATGGAGTACCTCAAGGTTCTGTACTTGGCCCTCTTTTAATACCTCTTCATATATGTATATATAGGTGTGGATACTGATGGAACTCATGCTCATTGCTATGCATATGATATATTTTAATACATCTGTGCAATCTCCCCCACAGAGGCACTTCATAAACTTCAGTCTACCTTTAATATTCTACAGTCTCAACTCATTAAACTCAAGTTAGTACTGAATGCAAATAAAAATAAACTAATATTACTGAGGTTGTTACATGCTATAAATGTCTGTGTGTGGCTTAATGATTGTCTCTCTTTTCGACTGAAGTTAGGATTCTATTTTAGATTCAAGATTTGTCATTGCTTCTACTTTCTACTTTCATAATGCATTAAGATTTGATACAAATTTTAAACCATTAACCCATCACTGTGTTCTGTACTTCGGAGTGGGCTGGTCATCTCTTTCCATAAGTTCTACGAGTCATTGGTATATCTTTATTTATAAAGCTATTTTAGTTTAACTACCCCCAAACCTCTGCAAACTTATTTCAAGGGGCTCATTTTCCAGTCATACTATAAGCTCAGGACTCATATCTGCTGTCTGTCCCCAGCATTCGGACAAAGACAAAAAAAAAAAAAGCTTTCATGTTTTCTGCTACAGCCACCTGGAATAGGTTGCAGAGGGAAATCCCAGTAAATTAAAGAATTTCATATTGTTGACAGAATTTAAAACTGTTAATTAATTGGTGAATGACTCATTTTCTGCTTCTTGTTGTTCTTAGTTTGTTTAATTCTAGGTACTGATATAGTTTTATGGTCTCCACTGTTCTTAGGTTTTGTAGATTTTATACACTAATGTCTGTTTTAGTGTTGTATGTGTTTGCTCTGACTGGAATATGTAATGCTGGTGTCTTGGCCAGTTTCTAACCTTAGTGGGATTAGCCCTGGTTAAATATTGTTTAAATAGAAATATAATAAAGATCAGCATCCCAAGAAGGCAAACTGGCAACCTGTCCAGGGTGTACCCCACCTCTCGCCCAATGTCAGCTGGGACAGACTCCAGCCCCCCCTGCGACCCTATTCAGGAATATGCACTATAGATAATGGATGGATGGATTGGGATAAAGTCTCACTGTGGAAAATCTAAATACTGTAGCTCATTTTAGATTCAATCGTGCATAATTTCTGTGGAGATGACTGAAGATATAACCTAATCTGGAAATGTATTGGCTGTAATACACTGTACTGACACAGCTTAATACAGGAAATCCATTTACCTACAGTATTTAGCAATAGGTACCTCCATGTTCATTGCTGTGACTGCTATACATGTCTACAGTTACCGCATTAAGCATCAACAAAGCCCGTGATAACCATGCCACTCCCACCAACAGATGCCTCAAGTCTTTATTGACTTCCTGCCCGGTTTGTGCGTAATGTTAACGTTTTATGCAGATGGAGCCCTGCTATCCACTATGCCCTCCATTTACTCATGTCCATGTCAGTGAATTTTCACTGTCTTCTGGCAATGGCCTTCTGTACCCAATTTTGTCCTGGCCATCCAAATGGAGTGTTATGTAAATTCAATATCAGCTGTGCCTGAAAACTGCACTTCCTCCTAATAAACTGTGACCAGTGGGAAACTGAGCAAGTAACCCAAACAGTAGTGTGCTCCTTTCTGTCAGCTATTGTTAACAATTCATTTAATTCTGTTTGTCTTTAGCATGGAACATGCACAGAGATGCACTGGGGACCAGTGATGCAAGGCATGAATACACCTAGACTGTTTGACTCCACAGCAGCCCATATTTTTACATAATCTACACAACAATTTGTGCATGAAATGTTTGAGGTGCTGAAGAAACAGAGTGCACAGCTTGTGCAAGCTGTAAATGCACACTTCAGTCCTTTGTTAAAGTTAGATCAATAACTGAGCTGTTTTACAGGAAATATTTGTGCAAACGTACCTTCTTTGCTCTCTGGGAAATCTTTGGTGCACAACACAAAAGTTTTTCAACCAGATATTCTTTGTTCTGCATGAGAAACATCAAAATATGAATCAAAATTAATTCTGTTAACTTAACCAATACCTAGCAATAAATCACAGAAATCTCATGTATTTGGTTTTTAAACAGTAGCCATCAAAAATCAGCTGGATTGTTTAAAATTCAAGAGGTGTATGAAATTTGTGATGGTTATCTTTAGAAAATGTTAAACCAGTTCAAATGGAAATAATACATTGAGGTTCCAGTGCTTGGTCATCCTGATTCACATTTATAAAATTAACATTAAACAAACCACACTAACAGATGAAACAAATGATTATTCGAATTTCATTGAAGAAGGAAAAGCTTAGTTTGCCTTTTTAAATAATCATTATATGTTTAGAAACAGCATTAAACAAAAAATGTGGGTAAAGTTGCAGTCATCGTGTTATAGCTGAATCAGCTTCAAGTAACCCATTTAGTGTTGCAGTTCTATATTTAAAATGTTTGTTTTCCTCTCAAAAATGGTCTCAGTTAAGATTAATTAAAGGGTATAAGCACAGACATCGATATGGAAGTGAATAAAGGAAATAATTAGGGGTATAACAATACATTGTGATTCAAAAATGTGGCGATATGCATAGTGGAACTAAAAAATGGAGAGCAATATTAAGTCAAAGACTCCCATGTAATTTATTTATATTAATACAAGAGGGAGCAATAGGCCAGATCTGTTTTCTTGACCGACCTGTTGTTGACCCTGACGGTCGCTAGGGTTAACTACAGTAGCCACTAGCCACACTTAATTACACTCTAATCTACAGAATAAGGGAAATGTCTGAATACAAAACAGTTTTGTGATTTTACAAACCTAAGAAGAAATAAATAACACTAGTTTTCATTCTCAGTGTTATCGTGAGCGTATTGAACTGCATGGCCTGTATCGTGTATCAAACCAGGCCACGAGCTGCTCGTATCGTTACACCTCTACAGATATTTGTTTTCCTTACTGTGTTGACAAGTATGATATATACAGTAGAGTGTCTTCCATTCCTTTATACTGAATGCTGTTTGATGTCTCCAAGTATGTAGAACATTATAAACTACATTCATTTATGAGGCATAGCATAAGAATTAATAACAGAACATTGCTGTCAAGTCAAATATTTGTGATACTACCTTGGCCTTTTGGAAGAATTTACACTTCAAAAGCTCTGCTGCTGTAGGCCTAGAGTTAAAGAGAAGTACAATTGTTGGAAAATACACTACAACACCACACACACTAAATGTTAATCGGGTGCTTTTTACTGATTGCAGATTGCATTAGCTCTCTTTGATGAAATAGATGGTTGATATATGGAGCTCACCTTTTTAAAGGATCCTTCTGAAGGCACATAGTTATTAGCTTTCTAAAAGATTTGCCATATTTTTTTAGCATTTCCTTGTCCTCTACGCCCGTCTCTAGAGTGGGTGGATCATTCTGTAGGGTAAGCATTAAAACCTGAGAAAACAAGAAAAATGCGTGTTTCAGCAGCGACACAAATATTGTACATGAGGAAAAGAAACTCAAGGCAGGAAACTGTTTGTGGAACAAACATTGTGGAAAGTAAATGCAACAGGTACCTTTAAATAAAGATTGCATCCCTAGTGGTTTAGTCTCCCAGTTACAGAAAAAGCAGCAAGTTAAAAAGTTTTCATTATCAAACTTCATAGAAACAAGCTGGTTTAGGAGAAGGTTTAGTGAGCCAAGAGTTCATGGCCACTGCTTTCTTCTTTACTTTACCAGTCTTTGTGAAAGCAACCAGTACAGGACATCACAGTGATTAAATAACATCCAGTAAAAACATCCAGAACAGTCACCTTCATGGGAGGGTAGCGGTGATAGGGTGCAGAGCCTGTTGCTAACTCTATAGCAGTAATTCCAAAACTCCATATATCTGCTTTGAAATCATAGCCTCGAACCTGTGAGTACAAAATTACTTGGTATTATGAAATTTGTAATATGTTGGAACTAACATGTCAATTCATTAGCCTATATCAGGAAATTAATAAGCACCAAGCACAGCAGAAGAAAACTCAAGCAAATGCATTTTGCATGATATATAATGAACTTTATGATGTCACCAGCATCTGCATCTGTTTGTATGAACAGAGACAGACTCACCTGTTCCATCACCTCCGGTGCCATCCAACATGGGGTGCCAACAAAGGTCTTTCGTACTTTGTTTCTAGTCATATCCCCTCCGGTGGCTAGGAATGAGCTTACTCCAAAATCTGAAAATGTAGATAAATAAATAAACAAAGCAGTTTTCATATTAAATACAGGCAAACCTGTGTGTGTTAAACAGGTATGTTGAAATGATCATGCTGTAGTCAGGCCTCTTTTAGCAACCGTAATATACGTAGGTAATTTGCTCATTTAAAATTGTGTGCTAAACCATATCATAATGTATATTTGTATACCATTTAGATTCTAATGGCCGTACTCCTTTGCTTATACTGGGTTTGGTAAACCTTTTTCAGAGCAGACATTTTGACTTGTTAAAGCAGCAGAAGCAATAGTTGTACTAATAACATGATAAACAAGTAGACAGAGGGACTTGTTAGGGTTAGTTTAAGATAAAGGGAAACACATACAGTAAGGGAAAAAAATTATTTGAACCCCAGCTGATTTTGTAAGTTTGCCCACTAACAAAGAAATGATCAGTCTACAATTTCAATGGTAGGTTTATGTGAACAGTGAGAGACACAACAATAACAAAAAAAAAATCCAGAAAAATGCATTACAAAAAAAGTTA